GACGTGATTTTGGTTTCACACTCTCGAAATTTTTCTTCAAGGTGCTCCCAAACTCGATATGATTGGATTAATGTCAGGAGTTTGGGCTACTCATGGCAGTGATTTGATTCCTTGCAATTCCACCCAGGCCTTTGCTACTTTGCTCGTATGCCATGGTGCTCCATCTTTTTGATAAAGGTAGACATTCTTGTCAATTTGATTGGTTTCAAATAGTATGTATAGTCCTTTCTCTAATATTTGACAGTATTTTGGACCATTCAACTGTTCAACAAGAATCAGCTCAGATTTCCCTCCAAACCAGACAGCGCCGCACACCATTACTCCAATCCCTCCATGTTTCACGTTCGTCTGCAGACAGTCAGTGTTCCAAGTTTCATTCTGATTTGTCCATATATAAACCTGTCTCGAATTCGAATTTTGGCAAAATTTACTTTCCTTTCACCAAATTACAGACTGCCAAAATTCATATTTTCCCTTGAATTCTCTCGCCCAGTCCATACGAATGTTCCTGTTAACCTCTGAACTGAAATCAAGGGCTTCTTTCTTATAACGCTTCTTTGATAGCCTAGCTCTTTCTCATCGCACATGGTGACATCTCCATGCTGTTGACGACATCTTTGACGCTTTGACGGCGGTTTCTGATGACTTCCCTATTCAGTGTCCTTTTCGTTCGCTCAGATACGATGTTATTAAACAAGCCAAGTAATCAAGGGTGAGTAAAGACTTATAATAGCCCACTGTACGGGACGCGCAGGTTTTATTCTGCAACCACGGCAAGAAAAGGTAACTGTCAGGTACTGCCTTCTCTTTCCTGCTATTCATACTCTGCATTTGACTTTAAGATGGGTGGTTCTCACCATGTCTCACTATCGACAGTCTGGGGTGCCCACTAGGTGTAGTAGATTCGAAAAGGGTGTAGTGAACTCCTGTTTGCTTTTAAAGACTTTTGGATGTCAATTGTTTTCACATATCTTGACTATTGCAGATGACTTTTACAGTTTTAGTTTTCTGTCGATGAATGTAAGCATAGCGAATGATGCAGCGGAAATGATGTCGGAAACGTTCATAGCTGCCTAGATGGCATCGATATATGACTCAGGATTCGGTACTATAAAGAAAGGTAAACAGCAAGATGATTTCTATGTGATGTCTTATATTTTTTTTCATTTCTTAATTTATTTATCCCTGTACACAGTTATAAACTCTAATAGAGTTTTTTTCTTCTATTTAACATTCATTTTATTCATCTTGCCTACGGAGAATGCATCAATGAATTTTAAAGGTTATATATATTGGCTTAGTTCTTTTTTTCTGATCTGAAGACTGTCTTTTGTTCAATGATTTTTTTTTTTTGCTTTTATCAGAATAATATTAAATACGCCAATGTATGCCCAAAACTTCTTATTCTGATGTAAGAAAACAAAATCGACTTCCGATGTATGTAATCGACACGACACATACTTGGCATCCTAAAATGATTTTCAAAACATTTATGAAGCAGAGGATTGCCTTTTCAAAGTATTCCCAGCAGAAATTGTCTAACGATTTCTGAACGGAGTCTGTTTACAGATTCCAATCTTCATATACGACTCTGTTACTTGCATGCCACTCTGTCTGTCTGTCTCTCTCACACACACAAACACACACGCATACACACACATACAGTCAACTGAGCAGATAAGCACTGAAAATTGACTCTTTTTACGTTTCAGCATTGCATATTGAATCAGTTTTACAGTCTTTTTTCTTCGCTTACCAGTTCATTTTCCCTGTCTTCTTTTGAATTTGTGAACACACACATATATATATATATATATATATATATATATATATATATATATATATATATATATATATGTATGTATGTATGTATAAAATCATAAGGTTAATATTCGGGTTTAATTTTATAAAACCTCTTACCTTTAAGGCTAATACCTTCCACACTTCCCTGATCACCCCCTCGTGCCTTTCGTCTGATTGAAACATTGAAATGGATAAAATCTGTATTAATTTTTCGACAACTGTCACAGTTAAATGTCTAATTCCGACACGAACTCAATCTACATATCGGGGTTAAAATAGGTCTAACCCCTCATATGAGGTAATTTTGGATATATTGTGTACTACTATTTACTCTGTATAATAAATACATTGCGCTGATTTTGTAGGTCAATTTTAATATTTTATATTAATAGAATTCACTTGGATTATGTACCAAAGGATTTATTACCTTTACTATATATATATATATATATATATATATATATATGTTCAAGCAGGTTTGGTTAAATAATTTAACATACTATGTCTGTTTATTTTTGTTTTAATCCTTTCGAGTCCACGGATCAATTTCTTGGTTGCCGTAGAAAATTGATTAAGAAGAAAACCCAAATTTCTTTCAAATAAATTTTATTTTTCCAAGTACTTTCAGTCTCATCTGAGACCATTTTCAGGAGGTTAAATTGTCTGTGTATGTGCATATGTATTTCTGTAAATTCATTTTGACTGTTCATTTTACTGCTTTTTTTATCATTCTATATCAATTTCAAATTCACGAGGTTTTTCTCCATGCAAGAGAGGCGAACTTTTGTATTTCCGTATTTATTTATTATTAATTTTATTATAAAACTTTGCTGTTATAGACATTTAAGTACTTTATTGCTAGTTGACTTTATTTATTTTTGGTCTTAATTCTCTTATATAAAAGGGCTTCTTGGATTTCAGTTTTTGCTTATTATTATTTTGGTGTAATATAGATGGATTTTATACTAATATCTCTCTAAATTAGAATGTGGACATGAGTGTTTCTTTAAATGTTCTAAGATTGAACTCTGTTCATCTAAGTTAAATATAAGCCTTCTCGACAGCATCGTCGTTGTAAAACCAACATACTTATTAACATTTTTATCAGAGATGCAATATTCCAAATGTCATCTAAATTGATATACAATGTTTGCCTTTTGTAAGATGCTAATTAAGGAGAAGAATTGTTTTTGACCACGAGATTGGTTGTATTAATTTTAGTATAGTATACAACTAACCTCACTTTTTTACTTGGATCAGTGGGGGATATATTAGTGCTTATGAGTATTTTTAGAATCTGTTCTTCATGCTTATAGTTAGAATGCATTTGATTACGATATAGTAATTTGATATGTTTAGAGTTATTTGATGATGCATTCATTTTTATATTCATTTTTATATGTTTATATTCATGGGAACTAATTTGTTCATCAACGACGTAATTAGGAAAGTCATTATTAAAGAGGGTATGCTTAATATTTTTTAATTCACTATAGAAAATCCTTTTTGTTGAAAAATCTGAGTTTGCACGATTTTGTATAATAGCTATTTTGCAATAATTAGGACATACATTTTTATAGTTAAGAGTGCACGGGTTTTTGTTAACTGTTCTTTTACAAAATTATTACATCCCCGAATAAACAAATTTCGGTCGAGCACTTTAGAGAGAAAGCACGAATTTGTAAACAGTGACTGCTACTGCTGATAATGCAATGCTCCTCTATGAATCGAGCACTTGCATGTTTATTCAAAATAAATACGTAAAAATTCACCTTCCTGTGCAACGAAAGTCGATAGCTTAGGGGTAAATCTCCCTGAGGGACGAATCAGTCGGGCTTCGGTCCTGGCTTGAGGCAACTGGATGTCTAGCAACACTGATGAGTTGTTATTCAGCGAAACAGTTTATCTCTGGATGACAATATATATATATATATATATATATATATATATATATATATATATATATATTATAATTATTTTCTATTTTAAAAATATGTTCCATCGCTACACCGTAATTACCATGTTTCAAAACAGAAACTAAAATTTTAAATTTAATTAAAAGATTAAATTAAAATCCATAGCTCCGTTCCATTCTCAAACAATTTTTGGAATAACCTATTCAAAGATTTACTTAATTTATAAGCACAAACAATCTTAATATTTTAAGTCGTCTGGGTTTTTCAATGATGAAAAATTTTTTGGCAGACGACACGCAAAAAACGGATGGCATTGTTTGTGAATAGGCACCCACATCCCACCTTAACTTAACGTGCTTTTGAAAGTAATTTATATTTGATATATAAGTTGTCTAGGGGAATTAAAACCCAACCACCCCTTATCAAAATAATTGAATTTTCCGTAACCTTAACAACTAGCGATGGAAACATATTTTTACAATAGAAAATAACTAGCAATAGAGCCCGGCATTGCCCGGGGATGTAACAGTAAGAGATAGATCAAGTATCGACCATCATAAAGACTGAAAAATAAAATTGACAAAGATTATTGTTTAAGGTTGACGGACACGCATGTCTTAATTATTTTTTTTTTTACGAATTGGTTAAACCCAAACCCAAACTCAAACAAAAACATTGTTTTCAATCGTTATGAGTCTCCCGATTGAATAGAATTTTATTATAAACAATTGTCTTGTAAATGGAATTTTTAAAGCATTCTGAATGTAAAAATAAAGAAAAAAATGTGCAAGACAATAAGAAACACTACTTGCCAAAAGAAAAGTGAAGTTTTGTTGAAATCGGTTGAAAAATGTAGGAAATCCGATCCCATATATAAACGAACACACACACACACACACACACAACCTGGGTTTTATAATAAGTATTATTATAATATTATGCTCTATTGTTTAGTTACATTAAATACGACTGACAAGATACTGCGGTTATTTTCCTTGCTGTCTGTCGGGTCACGTAATTTAATAATGGTGTACTTGAGCAGCAATATCTCTTTTATACTAGTTTCATTAAATACGATTGACAAAAATTTATTTTTTTAACCTGTTAATGTATCTAGCCATCCTCATCACCAGAAATGACTCGGGGAAAACCGGTTTAGTCGCGATGATGCTGACGTGTGGGAGGTTGTACTAGGATACATAGTAACTTTGCCCCAATTGCTGTATCAAATCTGTAATAAATCATGGATACGTGGTACCTTAATAATCAAAGAATGGCATAATGCCAAAATGTAAGCTAAAAGAAATTGTTTATTTTTTAAATTTTCTTTGCTCAATACTTTTGCGTTTCTCCCTCTTCCTCCCTCTCTCTATCTTGCTCTCTTCCTCTGTGTCTACCGTTATCTTTCTTTATTTCTCTCTCTCTCTCTCTCTCTCTCTCTCTCTCTCTCTTCTATTTTTCTTTTTTTTCCGCTACGAAGTGCTGAAAGGTTCTTGGCCCCACCAATATGTTTAGTCATTTCGTCAATATTTTGAGATTAGGTGGCGATATAAACATAGTAGCCCTCGTGTATCTTTGGTCACACGCCGTCCGCTGACCTAAGAGGGAAGAAACGCATTGTTTCAATAGCTTCATCAACCGCAAGGAAAGCTGGTTCTCTGTGTTGTGCCAGAAAGTTTTTTTCGCTTGAGTCCATCCTTCAAATCTATAAATCAACCATTCGCCCTTGCATGGAATACTGCTGCCATATATGGTCTGATGCCCCCGCTGTAGGTCCTCTACAGAGACGGATATGCAATATAATTGGCCCTGATCTGGCATCTCGTCTACAGTCACTTTCTCACAGACGTGTCGTCTCTTCCCTCTGTCTTTTCTACAAATACTTTTACGGTATCTGCTGCCAAGAGTTAATTATGTTAGTTCCCAAACTGCATGAATTTAAGCATGACACTATGTTGGAATCTCAGTGGCACACTTTCACTGTTGAAACTGTTCAATGTAGCCGTCGATTCTACTCAAATAGCTTCCTATCTCGCACTTCCCGTCTGTGGGAATTCCCTTCCTCTTACTCGATTCCTATAGTCTTCAAATATTCAGATGTAGTGTCAGTCGACATCTTCTGATGTCTTGATCTAATTCCCCGTCCTTCTCTTTATCCTTTTCCTCTATCACGTCTCTTTACTCTTGCTCCCACACTCAGTAACCCTTTGCGTGCTAGTGGTACTCCAGCCTTGCTTTGGGGTGAAATGCTTTAAAAAAAAATATCTTCAAAGATGAAAAGATCACGCAGGACCTGTGTATATCTATACGTTTTTACTTTTATCTATTTGAGTTTGTTTTTGTTTTTGTTTTTGTTTTGTTTTGTTTTTTTTGTTTTTGTATGCGCGCTTGTTTATTTTCATAAGCGAGAAATGCTAACACAAGTAAACACAAACAATTCTCACATATGCTTACAATGCGGAAGTTGTAATGATTATCGTAAAAAAAGGCGTGTTTATTCATAACACACGCGTTAAAAGCTCGTCCTCGAAACAGATCAGTAGTGTTTGTCTCCAAATTTACAAACAGGCGAAATTCTTAATATCGTAAAACTTACCATTCACAGATCGTGGAACAATTCTTTTTTGCCCTGTCAGCGGGTACTTCAGAATACGCCGACTGCAGTCGGAGATTCGTCTCCACCTGTGCGGGTCAAACTCTCTGCCTCCTCTCATAATGGTTTGTTAATTTACTTTATTCATTTGGGTTCATTGATTTCATTATGACTAAAATATAAAAAATCGAACCAAAAATCGGACGAAAAATATAGCTATAACTGTTATATAATGATAAAAAAAATACTACGTTACTTAAAAATCGAAAACCAAAAAGAGTAAATAAAAATATACAGTATGATAAATAAATAATAAAAAAAAACAAGTAAAATAAATTAATCTAAATTAATCCCAATAAATAACCAAACTAACAAAACAATTCCTATAAATTAACCGTTAGAAAAAACAAGTAAAGATAATCAATCAAATAAATAAATGAAGTAATAAACAAAAAAATAAAAAAACTACTCCTGCCAAAACAATAGTTAGAATAAACTATAGCAATCAACGCCAAAATTGAATAAATACTTTTAATTATCTTCCCAAATCAAGACAAAACTATTAAATAAGCGATATAAACAAATTTTTACTACGTTAATAAAAACACCGATAAATTAAAAATAATAAATAAATAAATATATAAGATAAGAAATGAAAATAAAAAATGAATAAAAACAAGCAAAATAATTTAACCCAAGTAAATAAATAAACAAATAAACGACTTCCGGCAAAATAACCGCCAAAATAGTCTACCCACAATGCACCTCTGACCCGTATATATAAATAGCCGAGAAAAAAAAAACAACACTAGTGCCTGACGATTGCGTCTAGCATGAAACAGCCTGTCGCCTTTAAGTGATGACTTCACTGTTCACTTTTATATATATATATATATATATATATATATATATATATATATATGGGGGTTGTGTGTGTGTGTGTGTATGATTCTTCGATGACTCTTTGAAATAGTAAATCATCCATATATTGATAAAGGTTTATTCAGATAGATGGTCCCTTGTCGACTCTTTGAAAATGGTAAATATTTCATGCATTGACAGAGGATTGACCAAATCCTTGTGAGAATGGTAATTCCATCAGCAGATGAAAACAATGTAAACAAAAACCAACGACTACATTCTGTTGTGAAATCTCGAGCGTAAATGCAAGCAAAAGATAAAAAAATATAGTCCTGCGGTATATACAATTCAAATCAAAGAGATTCCAGATTTCATTCTTGCAATTGATAAGAAAGAAATGACCCTCCAAAAAACACAGGCAGATATGCACTGAAGCTGTGTACACTGATCGCCCGATTAATTGAATGCACTGTTCTGAAGGGGGTCTTTTCGAGCACAAAATATGTGCTGCTATTCTTTTAATGTTATCATCAAACGCATCCCAAAAATGCTTGCATCATATCGTCTTCTGCTTGTATCATTTGGCCATTATTACCATATTCATTGAGTTTTCATATCTGTAGTAATTTTTGGTATGCACTGGAGAACGAAAAATTCAGTGTTTCCTCATACTTCGAGCTGCCTCCTCAGTATTCTAGCTTTTACCAATGTTGTTATCTGAGAGTTTCAGTGCTACCACAGATTCTAAATTCTACCAACCACTTTCCAAGGTCTTTTCAGATGGTTCCAAATGCACAAGTAATGAGAGTTATGACTGTCACATTTATTCAAATTCTTCAGCTGTGCTATAGAACCTCTTAGAAGTTCAATATGCACTGTTTGAAAGATTTACTTTTTAACACTGACAAAACATCGCGTTGTAATAATTCCACTAATTTAACAACTAAGATTGAAGGAACGTAAGCTAAAATGCTAAATAAAGATGTTAAAATGGCGAATAAAATAGGAATGTAAAATATGAATGCTAAAATAGGAACGGAAACAAGTTGAAAATGAAAAAGGAAGAATTGAATACTAAAGCATTATAAAGTACAGGCTCACGAGAAAGCAGCTGAGCAACATGCTCCATAAGATTTCTATGGGGTTGAGGTCAGGAGATTGGGGCGGCCATGTCATAACACTCACCTGCTTCTCATCAAAGTATTCCTTCATCAATTTTGATTTGTGACAGGGGGCATTATCCTGCATAAAAATGAGCTTGGTGGGGTCGATTTGCACCCTTTCAGCAGAAGGGAGCAGACAAAACTCTAAAATTCTCTTGTACTTGCTCGATCCTGAGGGTCTTTTCAATAGGTTTTAAGAAACCAGTTCTATGAAAAGAAAAGCATCCCCAGAACATTATACTGAACGGATGCTTGACAGTACTTACTGCTAAATTCAAAGAGCTTTCAAAACTTCTTCTTCGGATATCGCTTATCCTTTGAATTTAGCTCAATTTTCATTTCATCGGAGAAGAGAACATTTAGTAAAAAATTCAGGTGAGTCACTTTTATCGAACAGCACTGTACATGTTAAATAATCATAAAGAGTAAGGGTTACACCGAAGGACGAAGGAAAAAATGGTTAAAAACAATATACAAAGCAGGAAGAATAAATACTAAAACGTTAAATAGTATGAAAAAAATGGAAAAAAAAATGAAGAAGGAAGGAAAGAATTCTAAAGCGTTACATGAAGAATGAGTAAATGGATATTAAGAAGAAAATGATTTAAAAATAAAGATGGATACAAAGAATGCTCAAGCATTACCTAAAGACGGAAATAATGAAAGGGAATTGCGATTGAATAGAACTAGAATGAAAGAAATAATAAGACGTTAAATAAAAAGAAAACAAGAATGTTAAAGTTGCATTTTAGATGCATCAATGGCGGTCTTAAGTGATGCACTGTCCTCATCGCCGATTTCAGGTTTTGCATCATATCAGCTCCAACAAAAAACCCTGACCTGACTCCAGACTAGCTAAGCCGCCTTTTTGAAAGCGACAATATGCTACGGACTTCGACATTGGAAAAAAGATTATAACGTATATTTATTACTGAAAAATTACAATAATTGCGGCACAAGGCCTAAAAGGGAAAGTGGGGTGAGGATGGTCATCATTAACTATCGTATACGTATATTTACCTATCCTATATTCACGACCCATTCACTCCTTTCAAGTAGCACGTATATAACAAGAAATTAGCCTTCACCATTTACTCCTACGTATACCATAATACCCCATAAACAAAAGGAATCTACAAAAACACCCGATGATTTAAAAATTTCTCATGCAAAAAATTATATCAACCGATATATCCATTGAAATACGTCCGTCAGCATCAGCTAATGAGAAAAAGACTTTTCACACTCCCCTCCTATATACTGGAGTTTTTTACTTCCTCTGGTTTTGATTCGAGTTACTTCCCCTGGGTTCCTAACTCGGTAAGGTGGTCTCTTTAGTTTAATCCAAATGTTTCCTACGTTTTCAATTGATAAATCACATAACATTACTAACCCATTAACTAAACCTTCACGCGTACCCAACCCGAATCTATCATATACTTGTACTAACACGTACGCTTCGCCAAAATTAGTCTAACTTACTACTTATAGAAGCATTTCTAAAAAAAATAAGTATTAAATAAAGAGAGAGGATTATGGTAAACTGCAGAAGTAAGTAAAGAATTATAAATCGTTAGATAATGAAAGAATGAATAAATAAAGAACGAACGTTAAATAACTAACGAGTACTGAGATTACGATGAAGGACAAAGAGCGGAATAATACAACGTTAAATAAAAGAAAGAACGGCTGCTAAAAAGATGGAGTAAAGGTTATAAAGAACAAGGAAGACATTTTAAAACAGTACATGAAGGAGGAATGACTCACTCTTCTAAAGAAGAATGTCCTTCAGACATAAGACATAAAGTACTCTATTAGTTTAGAAAATTCAATTATATTACGAAAGTAATATAGAATATTCCCTTTGCTTAAACAAAAGAAACTTTAAACATAAGAAAAGTGACCTCAACTTAAAACACACTCCATGAACATGATAATGCACGGTTAGATACAGCAAAGACTAAAAAGGTTGTTGCCCTAGGTATTACACTAAACTACATCCGACAGCAAGGCTTCTGATCTGGAGGTTTTGAGGAGCGTGGAACCATCTTTTAATTGCTGATATTCCCAGTTCCAACCTGACCCAGGGTGGTAGCACCTGTTAGGGTCCCAGCTATGGGCAAATAATTAACCCCAAAATTGGTGAAAACGTTATGAAAGTATAAAAAATAGTTTTTAATACCAGCAATACATTTTGTGGGAAATGCCAGCAATACATTTTTGTTTGAAAAAATTATTACCAGCAATACATTTTTGAAAAAAAAAAAATACCGGCAATAAAAATTTTCCCGGCATTAAGTAACCCATTGACGTTGATATGCCGTAGAATAAACCAAACAAAACCAAACCTGAAAAGGTTGAAGGCCACCTCTATGTATTACGTCTTTCCTGGATGTGGATGACCACGGTTTTACATAACTTTCTAACCTTTCTAGTTCTTACCAATGCTAGTTTTTTTTTTATTATCTTTCAAACTCACTGATCTGACATCCATTTATACAAGCTTATTAGGAAGGCTTAATCGCCATTCTCCCTGCCGCCTTACATTCAATTGTGACACTATTTAGCGTTTGGCTAACTAATTAAGCGTGAAAATTAAAAGCGAGAAATACTTAAGGCGAGAAGAAGCTATCACGAAAGACATACTGAGCGATGTTATTTTTTTAACAAAGAAAAGTGGTAAAAATTTTATTTTCATTTGCGAAGAAAAGTATTTTTTTCGCAGAAGATAGGAATCTGGCTGAATTAATTTATGCTATGACGCAGCGAATAAAAGATAGCAATCTGCCCATGACAATAATGAAAATTTCAAATTGGTCAAGTGGCTTACAAAGCGAAATGCTAGAAGATAATCAGAATTAGGTCGAGCATCGACCGAGAAAGAGATCAGCTGAGACCACCCCAAAGAAAAAGGGAGGAGGAAGAGAAAAAGGAAAAGAATGAACCATTAACTATCTTTCGGAGATAACATTTGGTTTTGGAAAGGGACCACCTGTTTTATGTCCAGACCTTGCCATGATAAAAGTTTGTTACCTGGACAAATTGTTGTCGACAGAAGTACGAAGGCGTTGAGGATACAAAGAGATTCACTTGACCACACCGATGATTACTTGACGAAAATCTCGTTGATGAATTCCAGATGACATTCAGTTATGATAGAGGCTTAATGACCACACTACAAGTCGGGGGTTTCTAGTCAGAGAAAAGACAGAAAAGAAAAAGGAAGATAATTTTCTTTTCTTTGAGCGATAATTGTAAACTGAGGCCAGTCTAGCCTCACCCACACGGCCGAGCGTTCATTGGCTGAATGGTGACGTGGGCGATGGGCGAAGGTAAACATCTGAGAAAGAAGGGAAACTTGTTGACGCCTCTGAGGGGATTGGTGTGAGATACCACTATAAGAAAGAAGGGAAACCTGTTGACGCCCTCTGAGGAGATTGGTATGAGATACCAATATGAGAAAGGAAGAATTTGGGAGGACAATTCCCCTAAGAACCCCTCTAAAACAGAAAGTAATGGACTTCCAAAAATGGAAAGTGATAAATTTCCCTGTCCGAAAACAAAGAAAATCCTTATTGCGGATTTGGAATTATCCAGGAACCCAGACCACGACAGGCCCCCATCCGGTTTTGGTCGGCGTCCATATAAACGAACGTCCACAGAGCAGAGTTAGTCACAGGGCAGAGACAGTGGCAGTGGGCAGACGCAGACAGAGTGACAGAGCAGACAGAGTTGAGCTGTGAGCTCGGAGACCAGCCTCGCAGGAGCTGACTGAAAGTTATCCACGCATTCCGACTTAGACTTCTAACCAAAAACAATTTTTTTTGAAGAACGACTTAGACTCACACCACCAAAACAAGTTTTTCGAATATCGCCTGAAGATACCAAAAACCAGTTTATTGAAAAACAACTTAAGATATTAAGACTCGCCTAAGAAACGCAAAGTGTCACGTATCCATAGAAGCGGTTTGGGAGAAAGATGTAGTCCTGTATTCAGAAACCAGATATAAAGCTACTTGTTATTCTTTTTTTTAACACATTTGAGTCTTTTGGGTTTTTACTTTATTTTCTTTTACATATACTTGTGCAGTGTCACATTTGCTCGAATTCGGCTTGCACTGTGGCTCGACGCCTGACTGATTTCGTCTACCTAAGATCAAATCACAACGTGGGTAGGTTGGACTAGAAATCAAAACAGTTACTTCGGTAACCAGACGTTGGAGGCTAGCTGGGAACGACAAAGCTGATACCGAATTTAACCAGATTTCCATCCAAATCAGCCAAGGGTTAGATCGTCACAGGATAGCACGGGAGAGGCCCAGGGTAACGTCACACAATGTCATGTTAGTGTCAGACTTCCAAGGCCGACTTTCATCGTTATGTATACTAAACATTTCATCTGTCTTTTTCTGATACTAAGCGTCCATTTTGTTTCCATATTCCTTAAAACTTGTTTTTATTATAATTTTAAGTTTTAGCATTCAGAATTTCAAATGACATTATTTAACTTCCTTTTTCATTGTTATAGAGTCGTTATTTATCGATATATAATTCCTTCAGTCTTCATTTCGAAGTTTCTCATTTCATACTTTTGGCATTAATACATTAATTCATTATTTGACATTATAGAATTGCATGGTTCCAGTTTCAAATTAATATTTTACAGTTCAAACATTATTTCACAATTTGATGTTATTTTTTCCACCTTCATTTTAAACTTTATTAACTCTTTAAATGTTCATTTATTCCTTCTTTATTTGACATTAAAGCAAACATTCTTTCGCCATTATTTTAAGATACATACCTTTAATATTTTACTCTTCATACCTTCTTTATTTGATGTTATGGTATTGGTTTTCCATTTGACGTTATAGCATTCTTGTCTTCCTGCTTCATTTTAAAATGTTACCTCTGACTATTTAATGTTTATTCATTCTTTCTTTAATTGATTCTATAGCATTCTTGTCTTAATTTTTCATTTTAAAGTTTATGTTCTATAATTGTATGATGTTCATTCATTCTTCTATTTGACATTTAGCGTTCTTGTCTTCCTCCATCATTTTAGACATTATACACTCAAATGGTTTAATATTGCTTCATCCCATCACTATTTGATGTTTTAGCATGCTTGTCTTCTGTTTCCATTTTAAAATGTAATCCCACTAATTGCTTAATATTCATTCCACATCTATTTGAATTTATAGCATTCTTGACTTCCTTCTACCTTTTAAAATGTATTCCATCTAATTGTTTAATGCTTATTAATTCCTTCTCTATTTGTCTTTATAGCATTCTTGTCGTCCACCTTCATTTTTAACTTCATTCACTCTAATTGTTTAATAATCATTCATTCCACCTCTATTTGACGTTATAGAATTCTTGCTTTCCTCTTTCATTTAAACTTTATTCACTGTAATTGTTTAATATTCATTCGTTTATTCTGGATTTGACGTTATAGAATTCTTGTCTTCCGCTTTCATTTAAAATTTATTCACTGTAATTGTTCAATATTCATTCGTTCATTCTTTATTTGACGTTATAGAATTCTTGTCTTCCTCATTTATTTAAAATTTATTCAGTGTAATTGTTTAATGATCATTCATTCCTACTCTTTTTGACGTTATAAAATTCTCGTCTTCGACCTTCATTTTAAAATGTATTCCGTCTAATTGTTTAATGTTCATTCATTCCTTCTGTGATTGAAGTTTTAGAACTGTTGTCTCTCTCCTTCAATTTAAACTTTATACCCCCTAATTGCTTAATATGCCTTCATCTCTTCTCTATTTGATATTTATCATTCTTGTCTACTGTCTTCTTTTTAAAATTTACTCCCTATAATTATTTAATGTTCATTCATTCCATCATCTCTATTTGACTTTATATCATTCTTGCCTTCCAACTTCATCTTAATAATTATTCCATGTAATTATTTAATTTTCTGTCATTCTTTATCTATTTGACGTTAAATCATTCTTCTCTCCCTCATTCATTATAAAAATTATTTTTTCTAATTGTTTAATGCTTATTCATTCTTTTTTTTCTTTTTTGACGTTACTTCATGATTTTCTTCCTCACTTATTCAAACTTTATTCGCTCTTTTTAATTTTCATTCAGTTTTCTTTATTTCCCGTTCTATCATCCTTTTATTTTTATTTCATTTTATTTTTGTTTCATTTCTTATTCTTCATTTTCCTTCTTTCTTCATTTTAAAATTTATTCTCTTTAAGTTTTTATTCTTCATTCATTCCTTCTTTCTTTGACGTATTTTCTTTTTATTCTTTGCTTTTTCCTACTATTTCATATTTTCTTTCTCTCTTCAAACATTCAGTCTTTCTTTAATTCATCTTTTTTCTTCCTTCATTCATTCTTTCTTTCATTCATTTAATCATTCATCTTTCTTTATCATTCGCTTCCAAAAAAAAAAAAAACATCTATCTTTTCTTCATATTTGTACGCAAGTGACAGGCAAGCTCTTGCAGGTCTATCCTCGCAACCAAACTAGAATGGCCCATTGTTTATCTAGGTAATCGCAGCGTGTAGCGTACACGCTAAGAAACACGAAGAATTATACTAGAAGTTAAATAGATTCGTTCGCATATCGGCATATCTCGGTTCCTATTTTTCCATTATCACATCCACTCTTCAGGGGGGTTTGATTGTATCTTCCAGTATTAGCTCGGTTCACCGATTTTGCGCGAAATACAAAACGATTTTGTTTATCTATCTATCTATCTATCTATCTATCTATGAATATACACACGGGAACACACAAACACACAGATATATATTCAGCTCTTAGCCACTCATATATATATATATATATATATATATATAGTGAACATTGAAGTCAACACTTAGAGGCGACAGGCGGTTTCATACGAGACGCAATCGTCAGGCCTGACGTTTGCGTCTAGCATGAAACAGCCTGTCGCCTCTAAGTGTTGACTTCAGTGTTCACTTTTATATTTACACGCGTTCTATCTCTGATATTGAGCACTTTATCCCATAAATATAGCACACCTTAAGAGTATATTTCTTCATATATATATATATATATATATATATATATATATATATATATATATATATATTCAAACATATATTGTTAAATATAACAGACAACGAATGTCTATTATGTTTGATTCTGAGTCGTTCTAAGCTAGTATAGTTGCTTTAATTTCCGGAGAAAAAAAAGACAAAATTTGTCCAACATTTAGATCTTTTTTTTTTATTCTGCTGTTCCTCGATCTAAGCTTTCGGCTCACATTGTTAAGTAGGACAGGAAATGGCTTGTAAATTTTAATGCCTCTAAAACGAAATTGCTGCTATTTAATCACCATAGTGAAACTTTACTGCATGGTTGATGCTAGACTCCTGGAGAGCGACACATTGCACCTTCTTAGCCTCACGTTTTCAACTGATTTGAAGTGGAACAAATACATTGAATCAGTAACTGCATCTACTGTATCGTGCCAAAAGGATTTTTTCTCCTCAGTCCATCTTGCCCATTTACAAATCTACCATTCGACCGTGCATTGAATATTGTTGCCATATTTGCTCAGGTGCTCCTGCTATTCATATCGAGGTTCTTGACAAAATCCAAAGAAGGATCTGCAATGCAATTGATACTAACTTGGCATTTCGGCTTAAGTCATTTTCTCACAGAGGTGGCTTCCCTCTGTCTTTTCTACAAATATTTTAATGACAACTGCTCTGACGATTTTTTTTTTTTTTTAATCCCTGGTGCTCCGATTACATGGATTTAAGCGTGTTACTCGATTGACATCTTGGTCCCACCCTTTTGCTGTCAACAGTGTTAAATATAAACGCCACTTCTACTTCAAAAGTTTCTTTTCTCGCACTTCCCACTTGTGGAACTCCCTTCCCTTATTTTGCTTGTTTTTATTTATTTTTATCTCTTTTTTTTATTTCTTATCTTATACATTTATTTATTTAAGTAACGTAGTATTTTTTTCTTTTATTGTTATATAACAGTTATAGCTATATTTTTCGTCCGATTTTTGGTTTGATTTTTATAGTCTAACTAATATTTTGATTATAATGGTTTGCTAATTTGTTTATTATTTACTTTATTTATTTGGGTTCATTGATTTTGTTTCTTTTTTAATTCTATTTCGTCTATTCTAACCAGTGTGATTTGGTAATTTGTTTGGGTTAATTTATTTTGCTTATTTTATTGTCATTTTTTTATTTATTTGAAGCTTTAACTATGCAGGAACATGCGAAATCATAGGTATATATTTACTACACGAACTAAGCAAAATAATAGATAAAAATAATACAGGAATCTACAGGGACGATGGCCTCATAATCTTAAGAAACTGTAACAAACAAAACACAGACAAAAACTAGAAAAGCAATAATAAAGATTTTCAAAAATAACGGATTCGACATAGATATAAAAACTAACCTAAACAAAGTAGATTTTGTAGATGTTACCTTCAACCTAAGAAAAGGCACATATAAACCATATAGAAAACCCAATGATAAACCACTCTCCATACACACATCTTCCAACCACCCGCCTTCTATAATCAAACAGATAACAAAATTGTTTAACCGCAAGCTTTTCGACAATTCCTCCAATGAATCCATATTTAACAAAGCTAAGAGTACGAAACAGCCTTAAAAGATAGCGGATTCCCAGCAACACTCATATACTCACCGCAGAACACAATAAAAGGCCAGCAGGAAAAAAAATATCATATGGTTCAACCCACCGTACAAGTCTGTCCTTTCATCTGTGTATAAAGACGTTCTACCCCCCCCCACACACACACACACACCATATTAATTCCGTTATTTATTATTTTAAATGTAGTTGTGGACTCAACTACATAAGTAGAACGACACAGCGTTTAGATGTTAGGATTAAACAGTACGTGCCTGCTAAAATACTTAACAAATTTTTTTCGTTTGGTGATACCATTCGAAATACATACAGGTCTTCTATAGCGGATCACTTGATAAATAATCTGACCTGTGCTATGGATTTTAGTGTGAGCTGGTTCTCTGTTGTGGCCAGAGCATACTCGTTATTCCATCTGAAGGTGTTGGAGACGCTGTTCATCAGGTCCAGGCGACCCGCTCTTTGTAAACAAAGTGGCTGTTTGCTTGGGCTTGCGGTGCTGTGTCTCTCGCATCTTTGGTGTTATAACTTTTATTATTATATTTTTTCCCTGTCCATTCATTCACATCATCCGTGACAGACTTTCTTCTCATAATTTGTTTCTCCGTTTACAGTTCTGACGAAAGAGGACGAAACCGGTCGACTTGTGTTCGTGTTTTTGTTTTAAAATTTACCATGGCCTATAGTAAAAAATTTCTTGACTTTAATGCCATAATATATATGTATATATATAATAATCTATGCAACGATTTTTGTCACTTTGCAATTTTCTCTCATTTCTCCTCGTTTTTCTTTTCTTTTTTGGCTTTTTAACAGCACGTTCCCTAGTGTACTCTATCATAAGTTTTGTCACACCAGCTGTTTTCGACAGGAACTCATTTGGCACTACTTGGGATGCTCAGACAAGAAAAATCCTTTAAGTAAAGGTCTTGAAACGCGGTACGGGTCGCAAGAGATGGGCGTGGACAAGGATATTCAGATAATGGAGAAAAGAAGAAAGGACACTATATAAAGAGAGGTTAGAAATAAAAAGAATAAGAACAAAGAAAAAGACAAGCAGTAAAATAACACGAAAAAAGGAAAAGAAAAAATGGTTTGCAGATATGTAACAGAAGACACGGTGCGAAACAAAAAGGAGAGAGGGAAAAAATAAAACGGAATGAAAGTGAGGCTATAAAAATTAATCACGAATTGGAGGTCGAAAGACCTAAATAAATGAAAAAATAAAATAAGATAAGCGAAAAATTAGAAATAAGTTAGGAATATGAACAAAACGCAATAAAAGGACATAAAATTTCGATATAAGAAAGAAAGAAAGAAAGAAAGAAAGAAAGAAAGAAAAATGAAGGGAAAAGAAAGAAAGAAAGAAAGAAAGAGGAAGGGAGAAAGAAAGAAAGAAAGAAAGAAAGAAAGAAAGAAAAAAAGAAAGAAAGAAAAATGAAGCGGGAAAAGAAAGAAAGAAAGAAAGAAAGAAAGAAAGAAAGAAAAGAAAGAAAGAAAGAAAGAAAATGAAGCGGGAAAAGAAAGAAAGAAAGAAAGAAAGAAAGAAAGAAAGAAAGAAAGAAAGAAAGAAAGAAAGAAAAAAAATGAAAGGAAAAAAGAAAGAAAGAAAGAAAGAAAGAAAGAAAGAAAGAGGAAGCGGGAGAAGAAAGAAAGAAAGAAAGAAAGAAAGAAAGAAAGAAAGAAAGAAAGAAAAAGGAAACAGGAGAAGAAAGAAAGAAACAAAGAAACAAAGAAAAAAGGAGCGGGAGAAGAAAGAAACAAAGAAGAAAAAAAGAAAGAAAGAAGGAAAGAATCGCAATAAAACCAAAACGCTTGCCGTAAAACAAGATCGTCACCAGATCAGTTCCTTTGCACCAGAAGTTTGAATTCCACAGGATGCACAACTCTAGTCTTACTTAAGATGAAGCTATCTGTGACAAAAATCGATTTTTTCTGAAACTATTTCCTCGCCCATCCCCTGTGACTGGATGTGACACAAGTTCATTTTTAACATGAGGTCTCCAAAAGGAAATAAATAGATAAATAAATGAAAACTTTTGGGGGAAAAGTCCCACTTTGCCGAACGTTTAAAAGTTCCGATCACTGGCTTCCGCCAATCACTATTAGAACAGAAAGATGTTCTAATTCTACATGCTGCATGGTGCAAGCCGTTTTTAGAGAGATAATTTTAGGTCTCCCGTCGGAATATACTTGCGAGTCGTGATGGAGAGATAGGTGGAGTCGGAGTTCTCGCAGCTCTAAGGGGAACTTTCGTCCGTTAGTGCGTACAGATAGGCAAAGGACACAAACTGTCTTGTTTACGCATTCACCGTCACGCTGACATCACCAGCCTCCACTCTTTAGTGCAGTGAGGGAAGTGCTGCAGTTGGCCTGGAATCTCCGGGACCAAACATCCTTCAATTTTTTTTCTATGATTTGTCCTCAGACAGAAACACGACAAAAAGGTGAAGAATAGATAATACACTCCGATCCCACCTTGAAGACAGGGAAGAGAGTTATTTATCCACGATCGTATGCAGCAAAAGGTAGTTTTTAATGTTTGGATTTGCAAGTTAAAACATTACTCTAGTCCTCGTAACTGCTGCCGTACTGGCGTCGATATTCCGACTCACCTTCTGCAAAGAGGAAGGTGGTGCCGCTGGACTCGAACCCCCGGGACCAGCTATCACTCAAAAAAATTCTGTGATTTCTCCGGAGACAAAAACACTGTAGAAACGTGAAGAACAGATACTACACTTCGATCCCATCTCGAAGAGAGGGCCGTGCGCATTCTGATCCCAGTTGAAGCTACAGTGCTAAGTCTACATTGCAATTTAACCTGTAGATGGGGGTGGAGTGAGAAGATATGGATTTATTAGTGACAACGATAAAACAACTTACAGAATTTGATCTAGGTTCGTCAATTCCACTTCTTCAATGTTCCGAGTCCCTTCAAGAGGTGAGAAATCACGGCCCTCCACAACTTCTCATCATATAACATTAAGCAATATTTTTACTTTACTATCTCTCCCAGGCCCTGTTCTGGCACAAGCTCGTGAAGTATGTTATTTACTGTTTCCCTTTGCATATCTTGCCTACACTATGCCTTGTGACTGCCAAATTCTCCAAGCCTTCTTTTCTCGTTATGTGTCGCAGAAATTTCAATT